AAAGAGTTGGACGTGACTGAAAATGACTGAACAACAATAACTTCAAAATCTTGTGTATGATCCACTGCCTCAAAAAAGGATAACTCATCTGTGCCTGGCTGACAGGCAAGTCACTTAAGTATTCTGGGCTGCAGTTTCCTCATCTGTAAAATGGGAACAATAATAGTAACGGCATTGTGTACACCCGGGGGTAGAGAGTAGTACTTTGTAAACCATAAATACACAAATGTAAACTATTACTATTATATGCTACCCTGACTTGTTATTTATGTATACATTCTGCTAAACTTCATAACAAGCCCTGTCTCTCATGCCTTTGTATATCCCCAGCACCTGTATCCCTGTTGTGGTAGGTGCTCATTAAATGCTGTCAACCTTCTCCCGCCCCCAGTCAACAACGAGTGATCTACATGAATACATTTATTACTTATAACAAGGAAACAGAGGTTTTCAATAGAAGTTGTTCCAAGAAGGGCTTAGTTGATGTTGCCAAATTAATACCTTAGGGGAAAATGCCTAGCTTAGTGCAGTATAGCACGATCTTCTTGCACACAGGGCAGACTTTACAGAAAACAAAGAAAGAATAAAAAGATTAATAATTGTAGAGCCTGGGACCCTATCTACTAAGTGTGAACAAGAATATTTCTCCTTACTATGCAGGAGAACCAGAAAGAGGAGGGAAGACAGGGTCTAACAGAAAGGTGTGAGGTTTTTTTGTTTGTTTTATAATCCATTCTAAAATAAAACTTTCCAAATAATGAATGATATTCATGTGTAGGAATATGGGACTGAAACGGACTGAATTCTCAATAAAGCATTCCTATTAGCATTGAAATGAATCATAAAGGGCTGTGCTATTGTTACCAGGAACTCCTCATTGAGAAGCAGTACAACTAAGAGCTGGTGTGAGTCAGGAAGACCTGGGTTCAAGTCTCATATTGGTTACATGCTAGCTAGGTGACAGTACCACCAAACTGCCAGTCACCCTTATACCTTAGAAGTCATCCTCAATTGTCTCTCAATTCCCCCAACTCCTGCCTCTTACATAAGGTCTGTAGTTTCTACCTTGCTAATATCTCTTCCCTTTTTCTCCTGACACTGATGACACCCTGGTGCAGGCCTTCATCATGACTGGATCACTGCAAGAGGCTGGTGGTTGGTTTTCTTCCTCTACCCTTTCCAATTCGTCCTTCACTCAACTATCAAACTGGCCTTCCTAAAATTCAGGTCAGACCATATCACCCCAAAAAAACACTAATGGGTCCCTATTGTCTCCAGGGTCAAATATAAAATCCTCTTAACACTGCCCCTTCTTGGCTTTCCAGTTTTCTAATACCCCACAGACAGCTGTTTACTCTGTGCTCCAGTGATACTGACCATCTTGCTCCATCTCCTGACTCCAGGCAATTTCTATAGCTGTCCTCCATGCCTGGAACTCCCTCCCTCTACATGGCTTCCTCCTTGCTTCCTTCAAGTCTCAACTAAATTCCCGCTTTCTCAAAAATCCTTTCCTGATCCCCCTTAACGCTAGTGCCTTGTTCTACTGATTATCTCCAATTGGTTCTGTATACATCTGCTTGTACAGTTGTCTGCATATTGTCTCCTTCAGTAGACTGAACTCCTTCCTCAAGAGCAAAGTCAATAAATTCTATCTTTCTTTGAATCCTCAGTGCTCAGCATAATGCCTGGTACACAGGAGTTGTTTAATAAATGTTTGACAACTGAGTGTTTGATGACTGAGCTCAGCAGGCAAAGAAGGTGCTGCCCATCATTGGAAGAGGGAATTCCTTGCACTGATGAAATCACAGATCCAGTTTTTAAAAAGCCTCATTAATAAATAAAAATCCAAGGTGGTCAGGATGGTCCTGTGTTCTTTCCCCTAATAGTCAGGCCCTGAGTGTTTCAGCTAAGTAGATTTTACTCTGCTGCACTGGCAATGAAAATATCTACAAGTGTGCCACAGAATCATAAACATTAAGGGAAAAAAACTGGTCTAGACCTGAGGGTGTTAAACTTTTTCCAGAGTAATTTCAGCAGCATGAACTACTTCCATGGCCTACAACTACCCCCAATCACTCACAGCCAAAAAGTAATTCATGAGAATTAGAGGCTGGCTTTGGATGACATTCTAAGGACATGCTAAAGATGCCCCACTCCCTACTTAATTTGCCTCCCTTCTCCCATCTCGATTGTCACTCTGGTAATAGGATGGGGCTACCTAAAAAGATTTTTCACTTAGTTCCTGGTTCTCATTTATACTCAGGATAAGTGAGGTTACCCTATCGTTGAATTTCAAGTAATTGAAGTGTTACTATATTAAGTATTATAGGAGAAGGGGTGGGAGGGTGGCTGCATGTCATCTGAGTTGGCACCTTAAAGAAGCTCTGTATACAGGGTGGTCTAGTGGAAAAAGTGTTGGATTTAGATTCACAAGTCCTGGGTTCTAATCTTGGTTGTGCTACTTACTACTTAGTGTGATCTTTGACAAGTCATTAGCTCTACCAATAGTTATATTAGAAAAATGCCTGGTATTATGAAAAGTTTTGACCTCAAGATCACCCAGAAAAGGGTCTTAGAAATCCTCAAACTACACTTTGGAACGGCTGGACTAAATGATCTCTAAAGTCCCCTTCAACTCAAAATCTTATGACATCACCTAAATAAATGGGTTATGATTTTTGAATAGGAAGAGGGCCTTAGGTGAAGGGAAAAGCATAAACAAAAGCACAGAGGTGGAAAAACCTAAGACATGCTGGGACTTTTGTTCCATAGTCAATGGAAAACCACTCAGAGTCTGAAGACGGCAATGATAATCATGAGAGCTCTGCTTTAGGATAATTAAAACGGATGCTGTATGCAGACCACCAGAGGGAAGAGAGACTAGAAGCAGAGAGGTAAGAAATGTCTGAACTAGGGTGGTTTCAATTTAATTCAACAAACCCTTATTAACCAGTGGACTCTAAAAGACTTGCAAAGTCAGCGATATCAGCAGCAGTATCAAAGAAGCACTAAAAAAAAAAAAAAATCACATGTGAAGCTTCCCCCCAATTTCAAATCAGTATGTTGGAAAAAACCTTACATAATTTTCCAAACACTTTAAATATATTTCCGTAGTCCTCAGTTATTAACTGCTAAGTTATATTCACATCACAGGATCACTAATCTAGAGAGCTGGAAGGGACCTTACAGAATATTCCTTGATACCTTCGGAGAACAACACTGTTTGAAGGGGTGTCAGGCAACATATACATGCCTAGTATCTATGAGACTATGATCATTCACATATATATCACACGTGTTGTTTGCAAGATATATTCATATATATGTGTGTGTATATATATGAATGATCACAGTACCACAGAAGGAACTCATATGAACCTATCTTGATCCTGAGACGGTTTTTAGGGCATCCGTGTTTTTAAAGGGCATCAGACTGTGTTTGTACGTGATCATGTGATAGGTTCACAGCTGGAAAGGACTCTAAGGATCATAAAACCCTCACCATTCCACAAATGAGAAAAGGAAGGCCCGAAGGGGCTGGGTGACTTGCTTATGGTCATGTAGCGGCCAACTGTCAGGGGCTGGAATTAAACCCAGATTTGCCAGGCTCCAAGTCCAACCCTTTAAAGCTTCCTTGCTGCTCAGTTATGACTCCTGGACCACAGCACACCAGGCCCTTCTGTCCTCCACCATAAGTACTGTCCATGGGGTTTTCTTGGCAAATACACTGCAGTGCTGGCCATTTCCTTGTCCAGTGGATCACCTGCTGTCAGAACTCTCTACTATCCCTAGGGGCACAGGTCACAGTTTCATTGTGATAAGGGCAGGGACTAAAGCTTTGTACTTCTTGAGAAACTTTCAATTGTTATAAAAATTCGAAGTGAGGAATTCTGTCAATATTTTGAGTCCCAAGAATAAAAAAATAGTGTGTGGTGGCTGAAAGCCAACCTCAGTCAAGAAGACCTAGTTGGTTCAAGTCTTTCCTCCGATACTAGTTGTATAACAAAGGGCAAGTCATTTAACCTCGGAGCCTCCCATGCTGAGTGGCTGCCTATCTGCACAGGTAAAGGGTATTTCTCCACAAGGAATTCCGTGACCTCGAGAAATCACTCATGCAGTCTCCAAAAAAGTGTTAACACGAGGTGCAGAATTCTTAGACAGAAATAACTGGAGCACAAGTGCAAGGAGCCGGGCAGAATGACATCACTGGGTGCTGGAATCTCCTCAGAGGCACAACTTACTAAAATATACCAGCACCCATTATATAAGCCCTGACCGGCCCGTGCTCGGCCTGAGGGAAACTCTCGTGACAGAGCAAGGTGACTCATGCACTTAGCTCCTTACACTTACATTCGTGGCTTTTGCGTGCAAGACGCGGCTTCCTCACCCCCCCCCCAATTTTTTTTTTTCAGAGTTGATCCAGACTCAGAGCCTTCAAAGAAGGGAGTGCGCGGTTGGAAGTCCCGCCTGAGGACGCTCGTGGGCCTCAGTCTGCCCGTCGGCAAAATGTGTGCGTGGGGGGGGGGGGGTCGCCGTCCTCGCCAGTCCCCCGGGGCTGAGCTCGGGCCGGAATGCCCATCCCCACTTCCTGAACTTCCCAGCGGCCGGGCCCCCGCCCGCCGCTAACTTTGGCCGGAGCGGGGACCGAGCGCCCCGCCGCCGCCCGTCCAGCCCAAGCGGTCGGGGGAGCCCCGTGGCCGCGGACTGACCCTTCTTTCCCTCCCCGGGAGGGCCCTCCCGGAGCCGGCGGCCACGTGACCCGGGGCGGGGGCGGGGGCCGCCTGAGGGTCCCGGCTCCGCGAGCCCCAGCCGCGGGGGTGGAGGCGGAGAGGGGGCCCCCGCCGCACATGGTCTGCGGCTGCTGCGCGCGCACGCCCCTCGTCCGGGCCACGCGCGTTCCCTCCCCCACGCCCCTCCGGCCCCGGGCCGCGCCTCCCCTCGCCTCCTCGGACCAGGGTCCTGGGCCGCCAGCCCTCTGGGGGCCGGCGCGCGGCGCTGACCTGAGAACAGAAGTAGGAGCCCTGGATGCCCAGCTTGATGCAGGTGGGGCACTGCAGCTTGGCCTCGCTGCTGCAGCCCGCCGTCTCGCACACCCGGCTCTCCACGGCCGCCATGCTGCCGCCGCTCGGGCCACACGAGCTCCGCGCTGCCGCCGCGGCCGCCGCGGAGCCGAGCCTTAGCCGAGCCCGAGGACGGAGGGGGAGGGGCCGGCGGGGGGCGGGGCAGGAGCCTCAGGCGAGCCGGAGGCGGGCGGGGGGGGGGGGGGGGGGGCGGCGCGGGGGGGGGGGGGGCTCGAGCCACCACCTCAGGCGAGCCGAGAGGGTGGGAGGGGCGGGAAAGGAGGAAGAGCTCGAGCCGGCGAGAGGCGGGGCGGAGCCCGAGCCGGAGCCTCGGGCGAGCCGAGGGGAGGGGGCGGGGAAGGAGGAGGAGCCCGAGGTTGAGCCGGAGTGCCCGTAGGCCCCGCCCAGCTCAGCCCCGCCCCGCGGGGCCGCCCCTTGCCCCTCCCCTCCTCGGCGAACCCGGGCCGCCCTCGGCTACCTGCCCAGGGATCTGCCCCGCCCCGGAAGGGCTGCTCAGGAGCAGGCGGGCGCACGTTAGCACGTGTTTGTGAGCCTCCCCCCTGGAGATGGTGGGGGAGGGGCGGCAGGCGAGGGGCTGGTCTGGCGCTTACAGTGTGCCAGCGCCGGGGGATCCCGAGAAAGACAAAGGACAAACGGGGCCCGCCCTCAAGGAGCTCAGTCTAACGTGGGAAGACCACGTGCAAAAATCGCCTACTATGTGCCAAACGCTGGGAACACAGAGGAAAGGCAAAGGAAAAAAGTCCGTGCTCACGAGGAGGTCACAATCTAATGGAAGAGACATTAAGCCCCTACTGTGTGTCAGGCAGGGCTCTTAGCGCTGGGGATACAGAGAAGGCTGGGAAAGTCCAACTCTCAAGGAGATCACAATCTGAAGGAAGAGACACTAAGCTCCTACTATTTACCAAAGCGCTGGGAAGACAGAAAAAATCCAAAGGAAAAAAAGTCCCTGCTTAGGCGGAGCTCACAATCTAATGGAAGAGACATTAAGCTCCTATTGTGTGTCAGGCAGGGCTCTTAGCCCTAGGGGTGCAGAAAAGTCTGGGAGGGAGTCTCAAGGAGCTCACAGTCCAGTGGAAGAAACAATATGAAAACAGCTGCTTTGGACCAGCTCAAATCTGGGTAGTTTTAGAGGGAAGTCGCTAGATTACCTTGTAGAAGGTGGGATTTTAGATGAGACTTGAAATCCAGGAGGCGGAGATAAGACGGAGGGAGTCCCACGCATGGGGGACAGCCAGGACAAAAGCCCAGAGTTGGGAGATGGAGTGTCTTGTGCAAGAACATCAAGGAGACCAATCATCTTTGTTTTTTTGCACTGGACCTATCATTTCCCACTTTTGTCTTTTTATTTTTGATGAGAACCTATGATGATATTGTCTTTCAAGTCAACAAGTATTTCTTAAGCACCGACTATATTCCAGATATTTTACTAAGCCCTGCTGCTGAGAAAATTCTTTGTATCCATGCTTAATGTTCTTCAATCTAACAGACTTAAAAATTTGCCAGAGATATCAGATAAGTGACTTACCTAAGATCACACAGCCATCAGAGGCAAGCCTTGTAGACAAATGTTCCTGATCCCCAGGCCAGCTATCTACATTTTGCATCAACTATACAAGAACTTTCTTTTCTTGACATCTGGCTCAACCCATTATTTAAGAAAAAGAAAAAAAAAAGATTGCTGTAGTTATAAGGCTTTTAAAATGTTTCATATCTAACTCCTCCATTCTAACCCACAAGTACCACCCAGTTCAATCCCTCACAATCTCTAATCACTTAGGATTTAATAATAATATTTAGCATTTATATAGTGCATTGCAAATATTATCTCCTTTTGTCCCTTAATCTACTAGCTCCCTACTTCCTTTCATTCTACATACCACTGCCAAATTAATCTTCTTTCAGCACAGCTCTGCTCATGTTCCCCCCTCTCTTCAAACCCTTTGATGTCTGCATTTTTAAAATGCATTTTAGTGTAAATCTTTAATTTCATCGAGGTGTAGGGCTCCATGTAAGGAAACGAAGGAGATTTGGAATACTTCTGTAATTTATAAAGAGTTGCCTAGGGCACTTGGTCATGGTCATACAGCTTGAATATGTCAGAGGCATAATTTGACCTGGAGTCTTCATGACTCCATCTACCCCATTGTTCCACACTGCCTCTCTAGCTATGCATTACTATCAAATTAAGTCCAAACCCAGCTCCTTCACAATCTAATCTTAAACCCCCTTTCTTCTCCCCTATATTCCAGCCAAACTGGATTTACCACCAAAAATATCTTGTATTTTCCTGCCTCTGCCCTTTCATGTTGTTTCTTCTGCCAGAAATGTGCTTTCCCCCCTTTTTTTAATGTCTCATTTTCCCCCAATAATATAATAAATATATAATATTTATATAAAAATATAATAAAAATTATATCTTTAAAAATTTAACATTCATTGGTTTTTTTTTACGTTTTGAATTCCAAATTTTATCCCTTTCTTCCTCCCTGAGATAATAAGCAATCTGATATAGATTATACATATGCAATCATGAAAATGTTTCCATCTTAGTCATTTTGTGCAAGAAGACAGAAAGGGAGAGAAAGGAAAAAAATATGCTTCAGTCTATTGAGATAACATCAGTTTTTTCTCTAGAGGTGGATTCTTTCTCTAGAGGTGGATAGCATTTTTCATCATGAGTCCTTTGGGATTGTCTTAAATCATTGTATTGCTGAAAATAGCTAAGTAATTCACAATTCTTTGTTGAACAATATTGCTGTTACTGTGTACAGTGTTCTCGTGGTTCTGCTCACTTCACTTTGTATTAGTTCATGTAAGTCTTTCCAGGTTTTTCTGAGATAGCCTACTTGTTATTTCTTACAGCACAATAATAACCCATTACAATCATATACCACTATTCAGCTGTTCCCCAATTGATGTAAGAATGCCTTTTCTAACTCGTATTTTTGACACTCACCCTTAAAGAAAAGATTGTTCAATTGCTGACAAAGCCTGGATTCAAATTCAGGTCCTCTGACCACAAATCCAGTGTCTTTTCTGATGTATCATTTGACTTCCAAAGGAATTATTTCCAATTATATCCCAATCTGAGAGCCCACAAAACAGGATAAAGATCAAAATGACAAAAATATACACTCCAACTATGTCTAAAGTTGGTCTTTTTCAGAGATAATGTGTTCTTTCCTATTAGCGGGATAACAGCTTATAAATATTCTGGTTATGTTAGGGATTGGAATAATCTCCCAGCTGTTGTTTCAGACTATAATAAGTACTGCTCTTTGTTTTATGCTCCCCTATCACAAAGTGGTCTGTCCTGGAATCAGATCAACATAAAACAAGGGTCCAAGATGTTTTTCTTGATTTCCTCAAGTCTTATGATCACAGACTAAGGGACGTGCGTTTGTGTATTGAAAGGACAAGTTGACTGGATCTCTTTATGAATTGTGGCAAAGGACACATGCCAGTAGCGACATGCTTGGAGATTAGCTTCAAGACTGGCCATTTAGGGACACCTACCTCAGCTTAGAGCATTTAGAAAGGGAAACAGTCACTAAGAGTTTGCATGGCTTCATTAAAGCACCGACCACATGACTGTCCTCAAGAAACTTCAGTGGCCTCCCTTTTGTCTGTAAGATAAAATACCAACTCCTTTGTTTGGCTTTTAAAGCCCTTCACAATCTGGCTCCAGCCTGTTTTTCCAGGCTATTTAGGTGTTGCTCATTATACATTAAAAGAGGCATATTATCCAAAAAGGAAGGGACTGAATGTGTCCAGAAAAGGATGACCAGGATAATAAGGGGCCTTGAGGGCAGGGACTGTTTTTTGCCTCTTTTTGTATCCCCAGTGTTTAGCACAATGCCTGGCACATAGTAGGCAATTGATAAATGTCGATTGATTGACTGATTGACTGGATGTTTACCCTGGAGAGGAGAATCTTAAGGACAATACCATGACTGTGTTCAGGAAGAATCACAGAAATTAGAAGGGATTTTAGAGAGGGATCATCTAATCCAGACCCCTCATATCGTAGGTGAGAAAATGGAGGCCCAAAATAATTTGCCCAAAGTTGTAAAGACAGGATTTAAATCTGGGCCCTCTGACTCTAAATTAGATTCTCCAAGCATTTGAAATATTGTCATGTAGAATGAGGAATTAGAATTGTTCTTGACTTCCCTTCCTGAAATCCTGATACAGTTGAACCAATTCAACCTTACAACGTCTTCTACCTTTGAATCTCTTGTCCCTATCTTATCCCCTCTCAACTTTTTAGTTATTTCCAGTCACGTGACCTCTTTTAGGATTTCTTGGTAAAGATACTGTAGTGGTTTGCCATTTCCTTCTCCAGTTCATTTGACCAATAAGGGAACTGAGGCAAACGGGTTGAGGTGACTTGCCCAGGGTTACACTGCTAGGAAGTGTCTGAGGCCAGATTTGGACGCATGAAGGTGAGTCTTCCTGACTCCAGGCCAAGTGCTCTATCCACTCTACCATCCACTCTACCATCCAGCTGCACCACATCAGCCCTTTCCAAATTCCAGTGTTAGATTGCTTCCACCATTCACCTTTTCCATTCTTACTTTTGTGCTATTGAACACTCCTGTAGGAAGTCACACAGCCATACTGAATGCTCCAAATTAATCTTAGCTCAGCCCTCACTGCTACAAGGAAATGCTTTTGTTCTTCCTTGACTCTGTACACTGTTTATTCCAAACTTTCTCTTTTCAAGCCACTCATACCATCCACTTTCTCTCAGCAGAGGGCCATACCTCATACTCAAAAGGAAAACTTGAGGTGATCCACCATGAGCTCCCTCTCCTCCCCATTTCTGTGCCTCAGATCCCCTCAGTACCACTCCTCATTTTCATCCTTCCTCTATACCAAGGATGATCCCTCTGCCCTCTGGCCCTTTGATTCCATCTCCATCTCTTGCAGCTTTCCTCTTTGATCATCCCTCTTCCCTTACTTTTTCAATCTCTTCTTCTCCACTGGGTCTTTTCTTTGATTCCTACACAAATCTTCTAAAACCTGCCCATATCTCC